TCCTAAGAGGGATGAACACGCGGATGGAGCCCAGTCATCTCTGTTCCCAAGTGGGATCAACACAAGGATGAATGGCTGAACTAAAACCTGCAGAAAGATTATGCACAAAAGTTAATTCTCAGTGGAGATACAGTTCAGTGGCTGAGGCTTTTAGTTCAGTCTCTAGTCAGTAACAATAGTAATAATAAGGACAGCGGTACTTGCAGAGCATGGTACTGTGTACATGCCTATGATCCCTGTACTTGGGAACCAGAAGCAAGATCTGTAGTTCACATACCCTCACTATAGAACAAGCTTGAGTCCAGCCTGGACTAAGTGAGAAGAAAACAGAGAAGGAAAAAGAAAAATAAAGGGCCATCCTTCATTTTTCCTTTTTTTTTTAACCTTTGGGAGGGCAGAGTGAGGGAGGTGTGGTGGTTTGAAGGTAAATGGCCCCCAAAGGGAGTGCCGCTATAAGAAGCTGTGGTCTTGTAGCAGGAAGTGTCTCACTGTGGGGGTGGGCTTTGAGGTTTCCTATGCTCAAGACACTCACAGTGAGACAGGCTATTTCCTGCTGCCTGCAAGATATAGAACTCTCAGGGACCTCTCTAGCCCACACTGCCATGTCCCACCGTGATGATGATGGACTGAGCCTCTGAAACTGTCAGCCAGCCCCAATTAAATGCTTTCCCTTATAAGAGTTGTCATGGTCGTGGGGTCTTCACAGCAGTAGAAACCCTAAGACACATGCTGTAGATCTCACTTCCTGTTGTTTGAAAGAGGGCTTCTTGGTCATTATTCCATACTTTAGGCTGGCCTGCAAGTTTCCAGGATTGTTGGATTGTCCTTCATCTGTCTTCTCTTCCACTGTGGGAACACTGGAGTTACAGACACACTTAAGAATTCCAGTAAATCCTGTCAACACTTTGGGGGTGCCTGGACTAAGCCCCTAAAGTGAGGCTTCTGAAATGACTAACAGTGGTCCACAGGGTGTTTAAACTGTTCAAAACCTCTGTAATTGTTCTTTCTTTGTGTGTTCTACAGAGATGGTTGTCCGGTAGTGCCTAATTCAACAAGATCTGCCATCTCAGCCTCCAGAGTCACCACAACCAACGGTATGACACATTTACTTTCACCTAACTTATGGAGAGGTGGCTTTGTCCCTAGACAGCAAGTAGGATACTGTCACTAAACTTTTTCTTAACCTCCTAGAATGTTTTGCAGGATCTAAGTGAAAATATTCTATTTAAGAGATAACATCTCTGAAATTGAATCTGTATTAGAAAATAGCAGAGCAGAAATAGATATCCAGTGGACTTGAAGGTGTAAGCATGTGTGTCCTCAGACAGTCCCCTGATGCTTCATAAGCCTCCCTTTCCTATCAGTAAAGCATTACTATTGTCAGCCTACGGAGGTTCTAATGAGGCATGTAAACCACTGGGGAATTTATGCAGACATCAACAGAGAGTCTCCCCTGGGTTAGGGACCCGTGGGGCATTGCGGGTTTATCAATGTGCAAGCAAGTATCTATCTCACATGGAAGCATGACAGAAACACGAGGAGAGCCGTAGTAGCAGTTATCGTTAGCGCTCATTAAGACGAAGCATTCCTATAAGTGCGCTATTCCTCATAATAAATGGATAATCCTAAAGTTACTGTTATATCGCTTCATAGCAATACACACGCTTCATAGCAATACACAGCGAAAGAGAAACTGAGAAGCTTCATAACTTTGCCCAAACCCACTGTCTTAGGGTTTCTACTGCTGTGTAGAGACACCATGACCATAGCAACTGTTATAAAGGAAAAAATTTAGTTGGGGTGGCTTGCTTACATTTTCCAGGTTCAGTCCATTGTCACCATGGTGGAGCATGACAGTGTGCAAGCAGCCATGGTGCTGGAACAGTAGCTGAGAGTCCTACATCTGCAGGCAACAGGCACTGGGTGGTATCTTGAGCATATATGAGACCTCAAAACCCGCCTCCACAATGATACACTTCCTCCAGCAAGGCCACACCTCCTAACAGTACCATTTTGGGGGGCCATTTTCTTCCAAACCACCACATACACAGTTAATGAAAAGTAAGTTCAAAATTTAAACCCAGAAAATCTGATTCCCACTTTGTTGAGGGAAACTCCTTGTTCATTCCCAGTCACCCAGACCCGAAATAATTAGACTGTATTAATTAAAACACTGCTTGGTCTTATTAGCTTATGAATATTTCTAGCTAGCTCTTAGCATCTTATATTAGACTATCTCTATTAATCTGTGCATCACCATGAGGTCATGGCCTACCGACAAGGTTCCACAACACATCTGTCTCCTCCAGCAGCTACATGGCTTCTCCTGACTCTGCCTTCTTTCCTCCTCTATCTGCTTGGAATTCCTGCCTTGCCCTATTCTGCACTACAATAGGTCCAAAGCAGCTTCTTTTTTAACCAATGGTACTCACAGCATACAGAGGGGAATCCCACATCACCACTTAGTTATATAATCAGAACCTACAAATGTAGCTTTCATTGTGAATGGAAGAGAGAGATTAGGCACAGAGGAATGGGAGTGAACTAGAGTGCTATGAACTGTGTACTTTATACAGAGCCTTCCCGTTCCAAGAGAGGAACATCTGAATGTCAGTGGCAACTACTTGAAACCATGACATAGAACTTGGTCTCCTAGAGCCAAAGATTTGTTCCCTGCTCTCTGTCAATTTATTTCAAGCAGACAAGCTCACAAAACACTTCCTGCCTGCCTGTCTGTCCAGGCCTGTCTGTCTATCCAGGGCCTCTCTGTCTGACCAGGCCCCATACCCTGAGGAAAGCACCTCTGTCTGCTGTCTGGCTAGACTCTCGTGGAGCTTACTTCTGTGGGACCAAGAGAGGAAACAGTTAGAAAGTAAGAGGGGAGGCTGTAAATGACTTCCCTATGATGTTTTATGGTGTACCAGCAGAACTTTTAGATCTAGCAGCTTGTTATTGATAGGCTTCTAAAATGACTTTTCCTGGAGTTCTAAAATGTTGCATTCAAAAAGAAAGAGACAATTCCCAGGGTCTGCATAACCCCAATCACAAAGTTACAGAAGTCTATTCACAAAAATTCCCCTCAGCCTTCAGCCTCCTCCCAGCGTTAGCTACGGGTCATTCTTAAATAGAAGCCCTGGAACAAAGAGGGAAAAACCAGCCATTGATCTAGAAATAAACTTAAAGTACTTTACATTATCCACATGTGGTACCTGTGCTAAAGCGTTTTGTAAAGTGAACCAAGCAAGTGTCCTCTCCCACACTGTGACGCTGTGATGTTGCTCCCATTCCGGTGGGATAATTTCCATTCGGTGTCTCCTACTTGAATCTTTAGTCCCAAACAGCCTGTTTTGTTTTGTGGGCGTTGGTGCAGGATATCTGTAGCCCAGACTGGTTTCAAATTTATAGCAATCCTCCTGCCTCTGCTTCCCAAGCACTAGAATTGCAGATGTAAGCAATATACCTGCCTCCCAAGTCAACTTTTATATATACTATTTTCTTTTAAGGGTTTGGTTCCCCTACCCTTGGTGTGGTATGTACACCTGTCAGTCCAGCACTTGGGAGATGGAGCCAAGAGGATGAAGAGCTCAGGGCCTTTCCAATATGTACCAAGTTGGAGGCCAGCCTGTGCCGTGTGAGAGACCCTGTCTCAGAACATAAAAAGAATGTGGGGTTTTTTTGTTTGTTTGATTTTAAGTTAAACCATTCTATATTTTATTTTACTTACTTGGTTTATGTCATTTATATTCTGACCTCTTTCCATATACAGTTAAACATAACATCCTTTGAAATACAGGGTTTCTTTATTTTAATACAGATCAGAATTCTTTTAAGTTTTTCACATGTATTTATTGTGTGTAGTGTTTGCACACACACCCTCCCATGCCACAGCACAGGAACGGGGTCGGATCTCATCAGCCCAGATGTTATCATTCTTGGTGACAAGCACTTACCCTTTGGTCCGTCTCCCTGACCCCTGTGCCAGTATTTTTAATTGAGTTCCATCCTTTATGTGTCTTGAGCAGTGTCTGTGTCTCCCTTGTAATACAGTTGTCTCACTCAGCACTCTGTGATGTTCCTTTGCAGGGCACACCAGCACGGAGCCTTGTGGTCAGCCTTCCCTTGCACCTAAGAGCTCGTTCTCCAAGGCAAGACAAAAGACTCCTTTCATGTCGTAAATACTTTTAATAACCAATGTGCTTATGTTTCATAGCAAATTGATTTTGTAATTAAATGTTCTTAATATGCTAACAGTAAGCATCTGTTGTGATGAACTCCTCACAATACAGCGCCTTCAAACCTGTGCCCTGGGCTTTCATGGCTAATGGTTTAACTCTGTATCAGGATGTGTGAATAGTGTGCACAATCCTCCCGTTGTCTCTTGGATTATAGGAAGAGAAGTGTGTAATTAACAGCAGAGAGATCTGTCCTTTCAAATTGTTGGCCACCAATAGCCTGAGAAGGCTAAACCTGTGGCCCTCGTAAGGAGCAACAGTGTTAGCCAAAGAAGTAGACTTGCTTCTTTTAAAAGGCTTGAGCAGTGTTTTCCAGATAATAAGATGAGAACTTAAAGCACTTAGGATCAGCACAGGGAAACTGGAGTCATCTGGCAGTGCTTTAAACGCTGTGTGAGCTCCACTCTGTGCTCTCTAAGTGTACCGTGTACGCGTTAGTTTGGGTAACGTTTTTTCTCACTGTTGCCTTTGGTTTATGTTAGGTGATTTTTCTGAAAGGCTCATAGCTGGGTTTCTATGGACTGGACTGTTTTAAACCACACTCACACCCCATGAGTCTAGTCACACCTCACTATTCAGTGTCTGCTGTGCAGTAGAAAAGACATGTCTTCCCATTTAAAACACTTTTCTCTTTAGTAATCTGAAAAAAAATGCCATCTCCATGTAATTGTGGACATGATCTGGGTTTTCGAGAAGAAAATGTCATAGTGAGCAGAAGCCGTTCTGTGCCTTTCGATGCCACATCATCTTGTTGTGCACCGTTCATCGTGAGGCTGAGCCACGCAGCAGCAGGAGCCACGTCAGGGCAGAAATGCCTGTGGCACAGAAGTAGCGTTGGTTTGTGTCCGTGCCTTGCGTGCCTTGCCCTGCAGCAGAGCTTGCTTTCCTGCTGGTCCAGATCTTCGACTCACAAAGCAGAAGCAGCTGAATTTTCTCGGGTTTCTACTGCTACTCATGCTGGGTAGCGTTTGCTTTCTTTCAAGTATCGGCGTGTTGAAAGAAAGAAGTATAGCAATTCTCTTGAATTAACATCAGACCCTAGAAACTCGGGGTTTTTATTATTGTGGGAGCCAATATTTCTGTCGGAATTCAAATTGTCCAGAAATCTCCTTGACAACATTCTGTGATGTGGCACTAATGCCCAGACAGACCATGATTTCTCATGGAAAATGGGATTTTGCAGCTAGTGTTGTTGAGGGCGCTACATGACCAGCTTATGAGGTGTAGTTCTGAAGTGTCTAACCCCTCGCAAGAAGAGTTAGGCCTCCAGAGTGAGCCACAGTGCACACTGTGATTTAGTCAGTTAATTCTATAGTTTATCCAAACCTACCTTTTTTCTTTTCTGTCTTTTTTAATTTTTTATTTTTATTTTTTCTTCCCTTTATTGAACAAAGATTATTTTCTGTACAGTATATTCTGTTCATAGTTCACCTCCCCCAAGTTGAGATTAACACCACCTTCTCTCCTATCAGAATCTAACCATCTCTCACTGGAAACCAAACAGGCATCTAACAAATAATAATAAAATAATATAAAGCAAAACCAAGCCAAACTAGGACAAAACAAACAAACCAAAGACAGAGCCAAAGAAAAAGCACAAATGTACGTGTACATGCAGAGAAACATGTTCACACACATGGGAATCCTTTACAAACACAAAACTAGAAGTCATAATGTATACAAAAAGGACCTGGAAAATCAAAAAAGAAAGATTTAAAAAGCCCTGTCACAACCTTATGATACAGGGATCCTCCAGCGATGCCATTGGTTTCATTTGTGTTGGCATCTACTGCCAGGCATTGGGCCTGTCCGTGAGTGAGAAACTGTCGAAGTGAACCCCACATAAGCCAGGGGCTTAGGGGACAACCACATTATTCTGCTAAAGAAACATAGCCATACAGTAACTCCTGGCAGCATTCTTTAGTGCTCCTGGATCCTCAGACGAGCCTTTTGCAGCAGATGAGAGCACAGAGACCCGCAGCTGGACAGTGAGGAAAATGAGACCCCTGAGAACATGTAGTCCTAAGTGTAATGTCTCCATCAAATCCTTCCCCTCAGGGCTCAGAGATCCCAGGAAGAGGAGGTGGAAAGATTCTAAGAGCCAGGGGGGTCACTAAGGAAACAAGTGCTCTAAAACACAGCAGGACCGACACACGCACACTCACAGAGACTGTGGCCGGGTACACACTGGTCTGTGCCAGACATGGTCCCAGCATGAGAGGAGAAGCGAACACTTGCCCCATCCCTAACTCAGAAGCGATGTCTTTTTGGTTTTTTTTTTTTTTGGTTTTTTTTTTTTTTTTAATTGTGCTTGGGATTGAACCCAGATATGCAAAAGTGCTCCAAACTGAACTACATGGCTGCTACGTTGTCCTGCCAGGCTGTGCTTCTAGTCAGCCACACTGGAATGGTATCATTTCAGTAGATACATAGTTACAACGCATTGTTATTGTCCTTAAACTCACAAGACAGTTAACCTACACTGGAAAGTCTTTGCACCTACAAATGATCAAGCCACTAAATTGGAGCATGCATCCATGTAACACACTTATAAGTCATTAAAATATTGATTGTCTTTTGTCTGAGAATAGTGGTGCGTACAGATAATCCCAGCGTTAAAAAGGCTGAAGCAATAGGAACATGAGTTTTAGGCCTTCCTGTGCTGTGTAGAAGACCCTAGCTAGGAGGGCGAGAGGGAGGGAAGGAGGGTAAAAAGAAGGAAGGAACCAAAAATAATTTTATTTTTTTCTCTCATCTTCTAGGCCATTGTAATCCTACTTAACTTTTCTAAAATGTTCTTTAGAAGACAAATCTCATAAACTATGTCTCAAGTAAGAGCTTTATATGATCAAACGAATTTAGGAAGTAGAACGGTTCCCGACGTGTTGGGTGACAGGAGCCCCATGCGCTTTGCTCCCTTCTCTCCTGTGTTGTCTTCTGCTAACCCAGAAAGATGTAAATGAGTCTGTACTGAACAGGAAGAGGGGAGGAGCTACACCCAAACCTTCTCCAATCTCAGAAGTTCACTAAATAGTAACCTGGTGTGTGCTGTGATCTTGCACTTCAGGTTAATGGGGAAGAAGTAGTTGAAGCTGTGTACCCTGGAGGGAAATGCTCGTCTTCTCAGATGATGGAGTCAGCAGACCGGACTGAAACCAAAGGTAGTTTCCAAGTTAGCCCTCCTGTTACTGTAAAGGATCTAAAAGTTCAGTAACAAAAGCAGGCCAGTTTTCCCTCCTGTTACCTCCCTTGCTAACACAGCGTCCAAAGGGAAGTTTGTTGATTGCGTATGTGCTGGTGCCCTGTATCCTCTCTCATCTCTAAGGCTAACGTGACTTGGGAGCTTCAGAAGACAGTTCTTGCCTTTGATGTTTCCTGCGTGCTGTAAAGCAGCCTGCATAGACTACCAGGTGCTTTATAGATTTTGTATTGAGGATATTTTATTGGTCTTGTTATGTCCTTAATCTTAAGAAGATAACACCTTTATTTTTCTGTTAGTGAATAATTTGACATTAATTTTATGAAATAAGCATCGGATTGTTAATATTTCATGAAAAGGTATATCCAATATTGATTTTCATTATTTGTTTCTAAGCTGCATTTGTGTGCTTGCTTGTCACAGCAGCCAGCGCACATAGACTGGCAGGACTAGGTCACCATGTCTGTCCTTCAAAGGACACTTAAAGACACTTAAAACTTCAGAGTATCTGGCATCTTAGCACTGAGACTGTCTCTTTCCCAGTAGTTTAAAAATAAATCACTGTTTTTCAAGACTCTGACTCCCCGGATGGTGACATCTATGATGATCCACAAGAAGCTGAGGTTATCCAGTCCTTGCTGGATGTTGTGGATGAAGAAGCCCAGAACCTCTTAAGCCAAACTAAAGCCACTAGAAGGGCCTATTCTCCAGGTAAGTGAACCCAGAAATTCAAGCACATGCATGTGAGAAAGTTATTCAGTAAAACTGAAATATATTAGCAATACCGTCATCAGTTTCTAGACATTGTTTTCAGAAATAAAATAAAATGTATTGTCTTTCCCATGTTGGTTTGTGGGTAAGTTAACTCACTAATGAGACTTAGAATTCATCGTTAGCGGCAGTCCATGTAGCTGTGGGTAGAATGCTTGCCCAGCATGCTTAAAGTCCCAGGTTCAATGCCCAGCACCATTTAAACCATGCATGGTGATGCACACCTACAGTCCCAGCACTTGGGGTGTGGGGACAAGGGCATTGGAAGTTCATTATCACCTTCAGCTACGTGGCAAGTTCAAGGCCAGTATCAAGGCTCTGGATACATGAGACCCTATCTAAAAAGGGAAAGTATCATGTATGTCATAGCTTCTATTTACAAACATATTAGTCTACACATTTTCCCTCTAGTTGTCAATAAGCCAGTGTAAAGCATGGCCATTTCATAGATAAACTTCACTAGTATTCTACACTGTGTATCATATCACAGACTCTTTGCTTTCCCCGTTGGGGCATTGCTTGGTCTGCTTACTGCCTTCTTTCATGGGGAAATAAAGTTTTCTGCTGCCTCAGTGCATCTCTTAGTTTCTCTTGGCCTGCATGTTTCCCCCCCAGATCCATTGAGGATGAATGGGGAGGCACCAGAAGGAGGCGCAGATACAGACTGTGATGATGCTCGGTTACCTGCGGACGGCCCCGAGGTGAGAGAGAACTGTACCCGCAGGAGTGGCGAGGGTCCTGCCCGTCACTAGAATTCTGTTTCAGCCCAGAGGACAAACGACGGCACTGCCACTTCTGTTACTGACAGATTATTGCTTGGAGGTGGAGGAAGGTAGCATTATCTTATTACATCGCGGTGTCATCCGTACCCAGCCCATTGGAAGAAGGAAGGAATGAGGAAAGGGGAGGAGAGGGAGTCAGAACTGTGCTGGCGTAGCCTCGTAGAGCTGTCAGCCACCCATCTCCATGCTTACGCCACTCAGACACACAAGGGTGCGTTCACCGTTCACTTACAAATCTGTACGGATACCAAGACGCTTGTGGCTTCTGAGTATTTCTTAATGCATAAAAATCATATAAACATTGACTATCTCAATATTCTATTCTCTAGAGGGTTTATTTAAGTTGGTCTTTTATACTATCATAATACTAGTAGTTATACCATAGGCTCTTTGAAAGGTTTTCTGACTCTTATAAGTCGTAACAATGTAATTAAATTTCCACTACAGTATTTTAAAACTGACTTCTCTTTTACCTAAGAAGAAATAAAAAGTTTCTTCCTTTTTATTTCTTAAGTAAATTGGGTTTATTTTAATTTTAAGTTTAATTTTAAATAAATTTTAAATAAATTTATTTCTTAAATTGTATTATAAAATTTATTTTCTCTTAAAGAGGAGAAAAAGCACATTATTTATATTCTTCACTACAATGACCTATAATAACAAATGCTTATGTCAGAAAACTTTATTATATGGATTTTTAGGACATATTTTCATTGTAAAAATTACTTTAAATGTGACGATTCATTAGTGTAAAACTCCCTCTTAATCTCCTCTCCATACTCATCTTTTCCACTGCTGTGAAAAGAACACCATGGCCAAGGCAAGTTACAGAAGGGTTTATTTGGGCTTACGGTACTGGAGGGCTAGGAGTCAGCCATGGAGGAGAATCCTGTGGGTTAGGAGTCAGGCGTGGAGGAGAATCCTTTGGGTTAGGGGTCAGGTGTGGAGGAGAATCCTCTGGGCTAGGAGTCAGGCATGGAGAAGAATCCTCTGGACTAGGAGTCAGCCGTGGAGGAGAATCCTCTGGACTAGGAGTCAGGCGTGGAGGAGAATCCTGGCAACAGGCAAAGTAGCTGTAGCACGAAGCTCGAGGGCTCCCATCTTAAGCCTCAAGCAGAAAGCAGAACAAACTAAAAATGACAATCTTTAAACTCTGAAAGCCACCTCCAGTGTCATGCTTCCTCCAGCAAGGCCACACCTCCTACATCTCCCCAAACAGCACCCTAACTGGTTACCAAGTATCTAAACGTCCAAGATTGTGGGGGACATCTCATTTGAACTACCATACCTATGCTTCTATCCTGCATATGAAGTTCAAGGTGGCTGGAATGGCCCATCCGTCATTTTATTACTGTATGTCTCACCACATTGTCAGAAAACACATTTTCATTTAACAGTTGTTGATTCCCTCTTTCCACACGAGTGCACACACATTTGCCTCATTCTTTCTAATATTCCATGTTCTATTATATGGATTAAATCAGCTGTCTTCCTGGAAGTTGTGTTTATTGAACAACAGTGTAGCAAAGGTTCCCATGTCTGTACTATGAAATCATAACTCTCATAAGCCCGTGTCTCAAAACATAAAGTGGAAAGCAACCATGGAAGACACTGGACATCAGCCTCTAGCTTCCACATGCATGCTCACACACACACACACACACACACACACACACACACACCTACACACAGTGCACATTCATTCACTCACACATATACCCACATATAATGCACACACATGTTCACACATTCATACAAACACCTACATAAAATGCACATTCAACCACCCACACATATACCACCACACAATGTACACATGTGCACACATGTATACAAACACCTATATACAATACACATTCACCCACTTACATATATCCACATACAATGCACAGACATGCACATATTCACATACCCACATGAACACCTACATACAATGCACACACACAAATACATAAACCAGCTATGTGGGGCCAGACTGTCTGTAGTAATAAATTAGCACTTTCTGTGTAAGTGTACTTTGGAATCATTTTCAGCCTAAGCTTCAAGATGGCTCAGAGGTTAAGACCCAAACTCTGTCCTCAGAACCTATTTGGGGAAACTCACAGCATCTGTAACTCTAGTTCCTGATTCTGACATCCTGCTCTCGGCATGCACACATACATACTTAAAGTAAATCTTGTATTGAAAAGAATTACTGAGCAAATAAAGTAATCCCTATTAACCAACAGAACTTCATGGGCACTGGCAATGCCTCAGCCACTTCTAGGAGTGTGTTACCTGAGTATCATGTGTGTCTTTGTGATAGGAGAAGAATAACACTAACAATATAAAAAATAATTCACAGAAAAAAGTTAACCACTGAGAGATTGCTCAGTTTGATTCCCATCACCCATAAGCTGGGAGGCTCACGACCATCTATAACTCCAGATCCAGAGGATCTGGTGCTATTCTCTGACCTCAAGGGCATCAGGCGTACACACACACACAAGCAAAACACTTACTCACATATAGCATAAAGTGAATAAATCTAAAGAAAAATTATTAAGCATTTGTTGACTGAGGTTTCTGTCCTGCCTGATTCCCACAGTTGTTAAGTCCCAAAGAAATCACACAAAGGTCTATATTAACTATAAACTGATTGCCCCAATAGCTCAGGCTTCTTATTAACTCTTATAACTTATATTAGTCCATTATTCTTGTTTATGTTAGCCACATGGCTCAGTACCTATTTCAGCAAGGCAGTCACATCTTGCTTGCTCTGTGGCTGGGCCAGGACTGTGGAGGAATGGGCTTCCTTCTTCCCACAGAATTCTCCTGTTCTCATCGACCCACCTCTACTTCCTTCTGGTTGTCCCGCCTATACCTCCTGCCTGGCTACTGGCCAATCAGCATTTATTTAAGATATAATTGACAAGATACAGACCAATGTCCCACAGCAAGTGTTATGAGATTGGATTTGTTGCAGGGAACTAGTCTAACTTTTATCTCTTTCCACTGTAGTTGCTGAATGGCTGTGAAGAGCACAAAGGAAACCCAAGCAGCAAAAGGTAATATTTTCAGTGCGTGCAGCTGTAACATGACGGCCGGCTTGTTGGGGTATCTGTTCCCGCCGGTACCCCACAGCCGGCAAGTCCCAGAGAAAATCAATCACACAGAGGTCTCTATAAGTTATAAAGCTGATTGGCCCATTATTTTTTTCTGATCTATGTTAGCCATATGGCTTGGTACCTTTTTCAGCTGTCAGCTCACATGTTGCTTCTTCAGTGGTCTGGGCAGGGATGGTGGAGGGAGCTTCCTCCTTCCCAGAATACTCCCATTCTCTTTGCTCCACCTCTACTTCCTGTCTGGTTTTCCCGCCTATACTTCCTGCCTGGCCAATCAGCATTTATTTAAAATATGATTGACAGAATACAGACAATTCTCCTGCACCATGCAGCTCTTTGTTCTTTTATTTCAGTGAAATGAGTTTTTTGTTTTCCATTAAAAATATTGATTAAATTATGGAGCCATGGTTAAATATAGATATTGTCTTTTTTTAAGACAAGATTTTAGCACATAGTTCTGATTGGCCTGGAACTCTGTAGACCAGGCTGGCCTCACACCCACAGAGATCGACCTGAGTGCTGGAATTAAAGACGGGAACCAGCACATCCAGCATGAATGTTACTCTTCAGGATTTGTTACAAGTAGATTCTCTTGATTTAAGAAATGTCTACCAATTGCTCAAAAAAAGAAAAAAGAGTAATATACTCTTAACCATGGTTTTGTTTTTATTTGTTTTTATTTAAAAAAAAGGATTCAAAAGAAAACGTGCCAGAAATTTTGACTCCTACTAAGATTATGGGTGATTTATTTTTTTAATTTTTGTCTGTTTTCCTGTACTTTCAAATTTTTAAGTTTTCATTAATGAGAAAGTGAAACCAGGGTCAGCAAGATGACTCAGCAGCTAAAGGCTCTTGCTACAAAGCTGGTGACCTGAGTTCAATCCCTGGGACCCACATGTTGGAAGGAGAGAGCCAACTCCCGAAGATGGCCCCCACTGTACACTGTGGCATGTGTGCAAACACACATCAATATTAAATAAAATATAATAAAAATATTTCAAATAATGTGAAACAAAGGATGTTAGGTAATTCTTTTTTATTTTTTTGTCTTGTTCTTGAGAGAAAGTTTTCACTATGTTGCCCCAGCTGCCCTCTTCCAGCTGTGTAGGCCAGCCTGGACTTAAACTCATGGAGATCTGCCTTTCTCTGCTTCCCAAGTGTTGGGATTAAAGGCACTCACCACCACACTGGATCTAGGATGTTCTAATACATTGAATCCCACAAAAATTCTCTCTTTGAAAATAGTTTCAAACATAAATAAAATTTTTGTAATATTATATGTCTAAGAAATATTTTTTCATAAAGATATTTTATATGTATATATACATATAATCTAATAACAGAATGATTAAACAAATTCTGTTTTATATTTGACAATAATCAGACAATGATGGTGTGTGCATTTTTCTAGAAAGGCAGGATGACATTAAAATTTTGCTAAGCTGGTAAAGAAGGAAGATACTTAGTGAGAAAGTCATGAGGGGCTAGAGAGATGGCTCAGCAGTTAAGAACACTTGGGCTTTCCCAGAGAGCCTGGACTTGGTTCTTAGCAACCACATCCATCAGCACTCAACTGCTGTAACTTCAACCGTCTCTTCTTGCCTCCTAGGATACACACACAGTCTTCTTTAAAAATAATGAAACAAGCCGGGCGATGGTGGTGCTCGTCTTTAATCTCAGCACTCGGGAGGCAGAGACAGGCGGAACTCTGTGAGTTCGAGGCCAGCCTGGTCTACAAGAGCTAGTTCCTGGACAGGCTCCACAGCTACAGAGAAACCCTGTCTTGAAAAACAAAACAAAACAAAAATAATAATAATGAAACAGCTTTGTGCCTAATCGTCAGCAGACATCCAGAAAGCAGACTCTTTATCAGACAATATGGAGGAAAGGACAGCAGATTAGTTTGTTCTCGTGGGAAGACAATTAAAAATACCATTAAAATAGAGGTTTTTTTCACATTACTGATTCTTAAATGTGCTTTTTGTTATTTTATGTCACTGAAACCGTGAAGAAATATAGTATACTATGAGCTAGCAATTTGATTTTAAAGAATTTATTCCAACTTCTGTAAGAGAATATTCTCATGATGACAAATAATGGTGACTTTGTTTACACAGAAAACACCATTTAAAAATGATAAACTGGAGAGGGATGTGTGATGCCACGCAGGTGGTCAAAAGAATAGGAAAATAAACGCCTTATTGGGAGCTGACTTAAATATGACGTTGTAGACCAGGCGTATGCCCTGGAATGCAAAATTGACCGCATGGGTGCTGGAGAGGTGGCTCAGCAGTTAAGACTGTATACTGGTCTTCCAGAAGGCCCAGGTTCAGTTCCCAGCACCAGCGTGGGGCGCCTTACGACTGCCTGTAACTCCAGCTCCAGAGTGGACAGACACACGCGAGACATGAAAATACATTAACCTCATGGGTGCAGAACTCGCAAATGAGTGTGAATATTCCCACAATGGAATATTGGTGCAGCTGTAGACTGGAGTCTGGCTCCTGGCACCCACATCAGCTCACAACCACCTGTAACTCCCTTTTTGCATTGCCTGCTGCCATCCTCTGACCTCCAGGAGCAGCGGCCGCATGCCTGTTGCACATACAAACACAGACAACACACTCATACACATAAATAAATCAGAAAAAAACCAACAGAATAATTGCTACTTCCTTTTGACCTATTGGGAGCTTCTGTCTGTGTCCTGCTTTAATGGTGTGTACTGGTTACAGACAGAGAACCCCACTTAGTTCTCCTGACCATCAGAAAGTGAGAACCATGAGCTTTTACCGTAGCTACACCTGAACACTCATTTTCTGCCTGGTTTCCTTTCTCTGGTCTCCTAACCAAGGATGATCTAGCTTCCCATAGCCACAACAGAACACCTAGAGTAGTCACACTGCAGGAGGAAGGTTCCCTGGAGCCTCCATTTCAGAGGGCTCAGCTGGTACTGCTTGGCCCTGTTGTTCTGGATCTGTGACCAGGTAGAATACCATGGCATGGTGTATAGGGGAGCAAAGATAACCTGATGGGGGCGGGAAGAGGCAGCAGGAGCTGCTCCCCCAGAGCCTCTTCAGGAAGCCTCACTTAGGTCCTCCTGTCCCTTGAAGGCCACAGTGGCTCCCCATATGCTGTTAGCTGTGAACCAAGTCTTTAGCACATGGGAATAAACCTAAGATTCCAATCCTAGAAGACGACATTGTCTGTGTACCCCCACAATAATGAGAACTTGTGCTGAGTTTCATCCATTAAATGAAGCCAAGACTATCTTGACCCATGGCCGCAGCTAAAGATCGTGTTTCCTCCACAGGGATCCTTTAACTAACATCAGAAACACCAAATGATGCAGTCGTAAGGTGGGGGGGGTGCTGGAGAGATGTCCCAGTCAGTAAGGAGCCTGCGACCTCACTGAGTGTGGTGCTATCTGCTTGTAGTGATGCCCCAGGGAAGTAGGAACAGGCAGATCTAGGGCTGGCTGGCTAGCAAGGTCCAAGCACGGGAAATATCCTGCCAGGTGTATTACACCTGCAAAGCAATGCCCAAGATAGACCTCTGCTCCTACACACGAAGTACATGCTTACCCTCACACATGTATGCACACGTATGAAAGAGGAGTTATATACTAACAAAAATAATGCCGTCCATGCTGACACAAATGAAACCACCCTCAAAGGGACTCCTTGGTCTAAGAGTCAGAGACCTGGAGTCTGTCTGCAACTAAACTACAGTGCACTTAGTTCATTTCATATCTACCATATATCTCAAATTGTGCATTGGGGGACCTTATTTACTTTACAGGTTCTCATGCTTAATTTTTGTTTGTATTTTAGACAAGGTCTTGCTTTGTTGCTCAGGCTGGTCTCTAGCTACAAGGTTCAAGTGATCCTCCTGCCTCAGCCCCCAGAGGAGCTGACGGCACAGAGTGTGCTACCATACCCAGTCTGGATTTGATTTTTTTTTCAATCAAAAAGTTTATTTTAATTTTTACCTGTATCTATTTATTGTGTGTGTGCGTACATGCTGCACACATCACAGGTGTAGCTGCCAGAGAGCAACTGAGGCCGCTCTTGTCCTTCCACGTGGGTCCCAGGGGTGAACCTGGGTCATCAGGCTTGACGGCCCCCTGAGCCATCTCACAAGCTCAGGAAATGTGAGAATATTGTACCTTGTTATAAAGAAAACAAGTGACTTGATCATGATATTTAAAATTATCTTGGAGACAAAAATATTTCAAATGTGTTTGTTGGCACAGCATACCTGAGGCATCAGAAGAAAGGACGTCTGCAGAAGACGGAGTAACACGAGGAAGCAGGGCATTCCCAACAGAGACAGCAGACCATGGAGACTCCAGCAAAGGCAAGAATTTTATTACCATTTTTTTCATTAAAAACTGTAGGTAGGAAAATTTACTAAAAGATGCTTTCCACAATATACGAATGTTATTTGGTCATATGTATGTGCTCTTTGGTTTCATGCATGAAGCTAAATCACATAGACATCGACTGTGGTTATCATAACCAAGTTATTTGCATAGTTGGATACTAAAGCTCTCGGTGGCTTAGGGTAAATCACAAGGTATATTGAGAAACTAAAGGGCTCGTCTTATTTGCAATAAAGCTGGAGGAGTATATGAAGTGCAGGAACCCCAGTTACCCTTGACGGCCAGCCTCGGGGTGGAGCTGCTCTGTCCTCTTGGGCTGTCTCATTTTACAAACGGACCAGTGGAGAGACACTAGGGCTTCACTTCTCTTTTCTCGCATTTTCTAATGCTATATTGCTTTCATGAACTGTGGAGTTTTATTATTTGAAGTCTATTCCAGTTAGGGTTTCTATTACTGTGATAAAACACCTTGATCAAAAGCAACTTGAGAATGGTTTATCCGCCTTAGACATTCTGGTCACGGTCCATCACTCGGGGTCAGTGCAGGAATTCAAGGAAGGATTCCAAGCAGAGGCCACAGAGGAGCTGTTTATAGGCTTCTCCCCAAGGCTTCCTCACCCTGGTTTCTTAGAGAACCCAGGAGCACCTGCCCAGCGGCAGCACTGCCCACAGTGAGCTGAGCCCTAATGTGTCAATCAAGAAAACATGCTACACGCACGCACAGACTCACCCACATGTCAATCTGACGGAGGCATTTTCTTAGTTGAATTTCCCTCTTCCCAGATAACTCTGACTTGTGTCAAGTTGAAAAAGACAAACGACAACAAACACCAAGCACAGAGTCTTGGTAGTTTTGTTTGTTTTGCTTTGCTTTTGATTTTTGAGGCAGCCTCACTAGTTCCCCTGGCTAACCTGGAATTTGTAACATAAACCAAGCTGACCTTGAACTCACAGAGATCAGCCAGCCCACCTCTGCTTCCGCATGTTGGATTAAATGACTTCTTAATGTTTTAGAAGGAATCCGTGGCTTGAACCCTTTTTCTGCTTAGGTAGACTGATGTGCACAATGTTTCCATGGGCTCTGGCAACCCATGCTCATTCACTGAGCTGCTCCGCTCCAGTTACATTCACGCCTCTCCCCTATTTCTTCTGTCCTAATTGTCTATAATTTCCTAGCTCTAATTAGAGCAAAGACAGAGAATTCTCTGTCTCAATTCTAATTCCAGTTCTCTGTTACAATACTCTGTTACAGTTCATTCTTGTTCTAATTATTTTGCATTTTTTCTTTTTCTTCTACTTCTCCGTCTTATTTCTTCTCAACCTATTTGTTCTACATTCTTATTTCTATCTCTACATTCTTATTCTCCTTCTACTGTTATAAATTGCCAAGTATAAATATATCTATTTATTAGCAACTTGTTAGTAATAAAAAAAAACTACAAGGAAAATTTTCCGGGACACAGGAATTCTTTGAAGATATGTAGCAAAACTTACTGCTAGTTTGTAGCCAACCACAGCTGCAGCTGTGGGGGTGGGGGAGTCCCCAGCCATCTTTTCAGAGGGCAGCTACAGGTTACAGGGAAAAAACTAAGCCTTAGAGATCTAAGGAAAAGACAAAGTATGATTGCATTATTTTACATTTCTTAAGTGTGATTAATAATATCTGGACATGATTAGTCAGCTAAGTGCTATTGATCTCTTGAAGGGCTAAGATAGAACAAGGACAGACACCTGCAACACTGTCCTAATTCATCATAAATCCTCTGAAGGGCTTAGATCCTACAAGGCCGGACACCTGCAATTTCATAAGTAAAATCCGTGGAAGTTCCGTTTGTGATCCGTCCAGAAGGACATTCGTCTGGATCACTTGCTCCATCAGTAAGGCTAATGATAGAGAATAGGCTTCTAAGTTTCTTACCCTAATGTGGAGAATATAGCATAGAGAGAAAATCTTCCTTTTGACCATCCACAAATATGTGTGCCCATAAGACTGAGATGTAATCATGAGATTTCATGTTCATATTCCATGAAAATACACAATAACGGAGATATCATAGCTGTTATTGCACAAGTGAAATTACAGATGAAAGCAACAGTTTTTGGAGTCACTGGTGCTGCTGGCTTTGCCTGGCAGGGTTCCTCCGAGAATAACTTCTCAGATGGGTTGACATCCGCATTATCAGTTGCTATGAGCTGTAATTGCATCATGCTCCCACAATAGCTTGTAATAAACAATCCTGACAGTTTTCCTAATATAAATAGTGCCATTAAAGTCAAGCAGAAAAGAACATGTGCTCCTTCCAAAAATATGAGTAGCTGGGAGTCTCAAGACTTGCAGACTTGTGAGCAGTGGCACCGTAGCTCTTCAGTGCTGGGTAAAGCAGCTGAGTGGTTGCAGAGACTGGGTGGACTATGGTCATCTGCCAGTCAGCCACGCTGCTTTACAGAGACGCCCTTTGTGTGGGACGATGGCGAATGAGAGCGGGCGCAGGGAGCCCGCTCTGGCGAGAACTAAAGAGTCCTCTGGTCCTTTCTGATAGATTGCCCCTTTCTGACAAATGAGGAGCTGGCTGCCCTGCCAGTGGTCAGAGTCCCTCCGTCTGGCAAGTACACCGGCACTCAGTTGCAGGCCACCATCCGCACGCTTCAAGGTTTGCTTGATCAAGGGATCCCTGCTCAGGAGCTACAGGTAAAGTGGCCTGTGCGTTTATTTGGTGGGAATGTGTCCTTGCTGGCCCAAGGGTTGGGCGAACTTCCCTGTCTTTGGGAATACTGATGACTTTCCAGCACTGCCCTGTGCGGCTGACTGACTTCCACCTTCTCATATCTAATGATGACTAAGCAGGATCATGGTAGCTGCTCGTGACTAGGTAGATCTTTCTAATGATATCCTCCATTCCTCATCTATAAAGTCTTTTTAATAAAAATAATCTGGTTATGATAACATATGCCTGTATTCCCAGCTCTTGCTAGTTGAAGGCAGGAGTCATCCTGGCTTCTGCAGGGGGTATGTTGGTACAAGGAGTTGCTGCAACTAGACATTGCCCCTCTGGGGTATACATGCCAGTTTGCAGTCCTTGCTCCTGCAATCTTGCGGCAGGAGAAATGCAACCCCACTGTGGTTTGTGGTAACCTTGTCCCTGTCCCTCAAACCATTGGCTTCATTGCTCACTGGACTGAGAGCTGCTACTCTCTAGAGGTTCCCCGGGGCCACTCGGGAGCTAGGGTGCATCCCC